TTATCAAACATAATCAAAAGGGATGAATTTGCTCAACATTTCTTAAACTCTAGGAATGGAAGAACAAATTCAAACCTTGAGTTGCTATAATAAAGGATGCTTTAGAAAGAATATTAAATGATCCAGGAAGTATTAAAAGAAGATGGAAAGAATATACTGAGTCAATGTATGAAAAGGAATTGGCAGACATGAAGAATTTAATGAAACAACATATGAGCAAGAGCCTATGCTGATGATGGAAGAAGTTCAGGCTGCTTTGAAGGAAATAGCAAAAAATAAGCCCCAGGAATGCATGGTATACCAACTGACATATTTCAGCTAACCGATGCTGTCCTGGACGTGCTCACCAAGTTGTGCCAAGAAATCTGGAGAACAAGCACTTGGCCAACTGACTGGAAGAAATCTATATTTGTTCCCATCCCAAAGAAGGGTGACCAAACAGAATGTGGAAACTACAGAACAATATCATTGATTTCACATGCAAGCAAGATTCTAATGAAGATTATCCAAAAAGACTGTAACAGCACATCAGTAGAGAACAGCCAGAAGTCCAGGCTGGGTTTCGAAGGGGTCGTGGTACTAGGGATATTGTAGCTAATGTTAGATGGATCTTAGCTGAAAGCAAGGAATACCAGAGGAATGTATATCTGTGTTTCACTGACTATGCAAAGGCGTTTGACCGTGAGGATCATAACAAACTGTGGCTGACTCTGAGAAGAATGGGAATCCCAGAACACTTGATCTTGCTAATGTGAAACCTATACTTGGACCAAGAGGCAGTCGTCAGAACAGAGCAAGGAAACAATGCATTGTTCAAAATTGGGAAGGTGTACGTCAGGGATGTGTCCTATCTCCATACCTTTGCAACCTGTAAGCAGAACAGATTATCCAGGAGAAGTGTGGTGTCAGGATTGGTGGACTACTTATCAACAATCTGCGATATGCAGATCACACAACCCTGCTTGCTGAAACTGAGGAGGACCTGAAGCGCTTGCTGCAGAGTGTCAAGGACTGCAGCCTCCAATATGGATTGAGGCTCAATGTCAAGAAGACAAAGATTCTCACCACTGGACCAACTGACAGCATCAGGATGGATG